TTTTTTCAAGTGTGAAAACTGACTTTAAACAAGCTTTTTCCTGCAATTATCTATTATAGAAGTAATCAGGAACTTATCAGTAAGTATACATTAGGTAATCTACTATAAGCCACAGCAAAAAGTAATTAAAATGACTTGTCAAATGAGCAGCGTTATATAACCCTGCCCAACATAAAAGTACTATATTAAAAATATTTAATATAGTCCATAAACTTACTGTGATATTAATTTTCTTCCTCCCCTTTCACTTCCTTTCTCTTTATTTAACAGAAACCAGATAAGGAATATGAATCTGAGCTATATTCCTATAAAAGTTGTCTTTAAAAAAAAAAGGCTTAGAAAGGGCGCCTGGGTGGCTTAACCGGTTAAGCGTCTGCCCTCAGCTCAGGTCACGATCCCAGAGTCCTGGGACTGAGCCCTGAATCGGGCTCCCTGCTCAGCAGGGAGTCTTGCTTGTCCCTCTGACTCTCCCCTTTCTTGTGCTTTCCCTCTCTCACTCTCTCAAATAAATAAATAAAATCTTTAAAAAAAAAAAAAAAACAGGCTTAGGAGTCAAATATATTCCAATCCTGAATTCCACCATTTATTAGCTCTGTGACCTTGAAGTAATTTTTAACCTTCTCTAGACCTGTCTCCTAATCTGTAAAATGGGCATAATAACCTCTACTACTGTGGAGTGTAGAGTATTTCTACTCCCCATAGCAGGTCCTCCCTAGTGTCGACAGAACTAAAGTGTTGTGGCCAAGGAATTTCAAGTTTTTCCGGTCCCAATGGTAAGACCACCTTTACAGATTTATCAGTCCAGTTTGTGCACCCTCAGCAGGGGCAGTGTCACCCACAATGGGACAAAAACTGGTTCTCAGAGGGCAAATTAAAAAACCCTAGCTAGACCATTGGTTTGTGACCCTCCAAAGAGCCACAGTACACAAATGAAAATACACTATATCTACGGTATTAAAATTTCATGGAAGAGAATGGGTGGGGGGTGAATTTTCTACAAAGGCTCCTCAGGGGATTGATAATGCAAAGAGGGCTGAGAAAACACTGGTCTAGGGTGACGATAAATGTTCAGAGACCATTATAAGTACACATCCGGACGTCCCCTTTTCCCATCAGTTTTGATCTGTGGAAGTTCATGGGCCGCAGGGCCTGATGTCTCCAAGGAACCAACAAGAGTAAGTCTCTAGGCCTTCAAAGCAAAGACCCAGATCTAGGCAGCCTTCCCTCCAAGACTCTGCTGTCAATGGCACCGCCCCACGGCAGCAGGCCACGCCACAGCTGGACTGTAAAACCCTCCCAAGTTGACTAGGAGGACGAAATGGAAGAGCGTCTGTCAAGGTGCAGGTCCAGCACAAAACCAGCACTTCAAGATGCGAGTCCCTGCTCCACCCATCTCCTCTCCTTCAACTGCCTACCTGCTTCTCATACTCTGGGTTTAATTGAAAAAATAAAAAGGAAAATTTGTCTCTGCACCTACTAATAATCTTATAGAACACAAGCAAAACCATGCCTAGAAGGCAAACTTCTGATAAAGTTCCAATCTGATCAAACGGCCACCAAATCTATGTCAGTTGAAGCTAACAATTCTGAGTAGTTTTTCCTCCAATAATCTTCAATAATGAAGGCGCACTGTATGGTTTGCACAAAACACAGACCCTCTCCATACTGGTTAAATACGATGCTGGGAAAATCCAAAGATTAATTCAGAAATTAGGAAGCATCGGTATAGCATGGGATGAACTACATACTAGTGTCATTCCATAATGGCAGTACACATATCATCCAGCACTGCAAGAACCTAAGAAAAGCAGGAAAGAAAAAGATACTCTGCAACATATCTTAAATTTGTTTTCATCTCATTCAGAAATTTTCAGTCTCTCAGACATTACCTTTCAGGCTTTCTAAAGTGAACCTCTCAAAGCTTCATCCCCAAAGTTCAATCATGCTTTTCTTACCTGGTTCTGCTTTGCAAATAAATGATCCTGGCAGCAGCTGCAATCTTTTCACACTTCTGAGCTCACTGTTGATCTTTAGTGTAGCTGTAAATAAGCAAAAGAAGACAAATAACTCTTGTCAGTTCACCAATGGCCTTCATGTTTTAGCATGGGCTTGCATTTCCCTGCCCCAACATACAAAGGACGCTTATTTCCTTCCCTCGTAGCGAAGTGTAAACCTGCCACCACGACAAATAAAATCACTCTACAACACCTTTAAAAACTAAAGGATGCACCTTTATATAAAATCCACTAGGTATTACCAACAGCAGCTTATTAGTAATTGAAAGATATGCAACAAGGTTAACAGGAGACAGTTAAACATAATAAAATCATTATTTCTAACAAGGTCCCTAAAAACTCCATTTATTTTTTTTATTTAACCCTTGGCAAGGAGTCTTCCCTTGTTCATTAAAAGAATCCTGCTAGTTTTCACAACATCATCTCTTTCTAGCCCAAAGGACCACTATTCTTGATATCACCAGAGGGTTCAATTTTAATCATATATACAAAGGCGCACTTCATCTCATTCCATGAAAGAGCCCGTGCTGTGCTTATGCATATGTGCACAGAGCAGGAGGTCCTGGGTGAAGGAAAGACTTAAGGACACACTGCTCCTTTTCAAAGAATCAAGCCTGGAATGGCTGGCTGCCATGCAAGTCTGTGAGTAGCCGATGTGCCGAGAACAGTAAAAGGAAAAAAAAAAAAAGAACAAGATAACAGAAACAAAGAAACCATCAAGAGACCTAGCAGCCATTCTCTTTATGCTATGTATCCTGAAACCAGTGAATAGAGGCTATTATACATGTTGTCAAAGTGCTTTTGTAAGAAACGGAGGCAAAAATGACCACCTCAGTCACTACTGGGTAGCTTCAGCCTCATGAGTTAGGATGTGATGGAGCAGAGCAACCAGGAGGGGCAGAAACAGCCGCCCCTGCATGTGTAAGAACAACGCCCAGCTGGAAGTCTCACGTGCTCACTGAGAAGACAGAGCTAGTCCTTCTGCATCGGACAGCCGCATCCTGACAAACGTGGAATACCACCAAAGCCGTTAAAGCTGTTGAAATTTGAGACTTGAATATTTCAAAGAATCTAATGATTAAAGGGAAGTAGCAGAAATCACATCACAGGGGACCTAGAACTAGCTTTCATTTCAAAGATCAAGACAGGGTAGGACGGTGGTTTTCAAAATAGATTTTGCAGAACAAACATTTTCAAACAAAATTTTACAAGGGACCTTGATAAATGCAACAGACGAACATGGTGCTGCTCCAGGTTTAAGTGGCAATTCGGGGTCTACTAAGCCTCCTCTTCCACCTCAGCAGAACCAGTAGCTGCTGAGAGCTCGGGGCTAAGGCGTATTGAAGCAACTGCCTTCGCTACACAAAAGGCAAGCTGTCCTGAAAAATCAAAAACGCAGTCATTCCAATCTCATCATACTATCTTATCTAGCTAAAGGGAGAAACCTCAAAAATCAAAACAGAGCAGAAAAAGATTCTAGTCACTCCACTGGCTCTCTAGAAGGTGTGATTATGGGACTATTCTGGAGACCACTGGTAGACATATGGACTTCTGGGTGGCATGTGAACTAAAAATGAAACGGACTGCCATCCTTGTGAAATTGCCAATATGAAAGAGAAGTAGACAAAGCAACTACTCGAAGTGACTTTCCTGCGGGCGCAAACACGCGCGCACACACACGAAGGCAGTGCTCAGGCGTGTGTGTCCGTGCATTACCGTTCAGAGACGACGACCCCCGCTCAATCTCACCTCTTACCATCGCTCAGTTCCAGACTTTGGTCAAAAAAATAAACATAAAGTCATCTGCAGCACAAACAGCTCATATGTAATAGATCATCTCACTCCGATGATCGCAACACCCCCTGGAGCAAAAACATCACCAGGTGAAGACAGCTGAAAGGTACCGCTGCCAAGAGAAGCCTGCCGCCGGAACATCAACCCACATCGTCTATAACCTTTCCGACTCCTGTGATCAGCAGCCCAGGGACTAAGCAGAGCTGGGAAAGACTCAACTAGATCATGAAAGCCAATCACCAAAGCAGCTAGACGACATCTGGGGAGGCACAGGTCAGCTCTGGTAAACTGACAACTGTGACTGCGCCATCCAATTACCGTTTATGACAACCAGCGTTCCCAAAGGCACACAGGTGAGAACAGCAGAGCCACCCTCGCAGAGAGGGTGCGTGTACTGCAGCTTATACACACTGCCTGACTTCCAGTGCTCGGGCATGGACAGAGCTTTCGCCTCCGTCCCCTGGGGAAGGAAATCAAAGAGAAACAAATAGTGAGGAAAAGCATTACTCTCAAAAAGACTAAAAACCCAAGAGGCCCCTAACTTGTCTGGAAATAAGCATTCCATACGGTCCCCTTAATAAAATTTGTCAAATCATTACTATCGTCATTAATAAAATTTTGACAGAAAAATGTTACAATATATTATCCTCCATCAAAATGTTTGTTCAAGTAGATATAATAATATCTGAGACAGGGATTGATTCTCTCTTCAAAGACTCACTTACTCTGTCCAGCAAAGCCATATCATTATTCAAGACCCATAGCTCAATTATCATTTTGCTTGTGAGGCCTTTTAAAAAAAAATCTCGTTTGGGGACGCCTGGGTGGCTCAGTTGGTTAAGCGGCTGCCTTCGGCCCAGGTCATGATCCCAGGGCCCTGGGATCGAGTCCCACATCGGGCTCCTTGCTCAACAGGGAACCTGCTTCTCCCTCTCTCTCCCTCTGCTTGTTCTCTGTCAAATAAATAAAATTTAAAAAAAAAAAAAAATCTTGTTTGTCATTCTCTTTTATCCCCTAACATTCTGTTCATACTTACATTGTTACACACTTCCATTATGTTATAATACATCATAATTTTCTTTTTATTTGTTTCTCTCCCCAACTTACGGACACCTTGGGGACAAGGACTTATCCCAGTATCTTTATATCCTAATTTCTGGCTCAGGGCATGGCATGCTGCAGGTGTACAATGGTCACTGAACTGCTCCACATCTCTTGTTACTCATAACATGGCCCAAAGACCAGTAGCATGCCTACGGTGTGGGAGCATGCAGTCTCAGGCTTCACCCTAGACTTATTAAATCAGAATCTGCAGGGGCGCCTGGGTGGCTCAGTCAGTTAAGCGTCTGCATTCAGCTCGGGTCATGATTCCAGGGTCCTGGGATTGAGCCCCCCGTCAGGCTCCCTGCTCAGCGGGGAGTCTGCTTCTCCCTCTCTCCGCTCACGCTCTCTCTCTCTCAAATAAATAAATAAAATCTTTAAAAATAAATGAAATAAATAAATCAGAACCTGCATTAGTAAGATCCCCAGGTACTCTTAGGCACACCAAGGTTTGAGAAACTCTGTTCTCCTCCATGGCTCTCTGGCATCCCATATACATAGGCATCGCTCCTAGAATTTCACCAATACAGTATGACGGACTGTAGACTGTCTCCCTCCCCCACTCCTGGACTATAAGCAACCCAAGAGCAGGGACGAAGCACTGCACCTGCCACTGGTAAATACTTACCAAATGGAGAATGAATGAATGAGTGAAGGGAACAATGTCCCTCTTCCTAACTGAACCTTATTAGATTACTGGCAATTCAGAGCCATTACCATAAAAATCCAGTAAACTATCCATCTAGACATGCCCATCCCACACTCTTGACCACAGTTTACTACATATTATCATACATAATCTTTTGTCTTTAATACAGAAACCTAGAAAACCACAATATCCTAGTGATGTTTATCAATATGCCCCCGTTCCCAACGGGAAACTGAAACCCTAACAAGATGTTTGATTTCTGCTTATAGTCTTACCTGAGGTATGTAACCTGACTCCAACATGAGAAGATGCACCGATACTATCAAGGCGTCATTGGCATTAGAACAGTCCGCTGACTGATACAGGATCTCTAATGAATGTGGCACCTGCCCTTCTACCGCCTCACTGCAGAGCATCGGTTCTGAGGGAAAGACACCTGTGCCCTCTTCCATATCCACAACATCTTGAACTGAGCCAGCTTCCAAAGCCTGACTAGGCCCCGACTGAAAAAGATAACAAAAACCATGAATTCATTAAATAGACTTTTATTTTTATAATTTACTTTGTACCCTTTGAACTCCGATTAGTGCTCAAAGCCAAAGCACATTATTAGTTTGTCCAGTATGCCAAAAACCTGGACGTCAACCTAGCCTTCTCCCTCCACCATCCTAAACTCCACCTTCCATGTGATCTGTCTTGCAAGTTCCACTGAATCTACCTCCTAAATATGCCCAAAATCTGCCCCTACTGCTCCCCAATGGTACTTCAGACTCATTTACCTCCTGGCCTCCAGTAATAGCCTCCCCAGGTATTCCTGACTCCACTTTGTCTTCTAAGACATTTCACTTACTGCTGCCAGAGGTTTTGACAATTAAGAATCCAACTATGTCCTATGTCCCAGCTTAAAACTTCCCAGTATTTCCCCAATGCAGATAGCAGCATTTCCCTAAATTATGCCTTGGACTGCAACCCTAGACGTCCTCGGAAAAAAAGAGTTCTACAATCAATGAAGTTTGGAAAATGCTGCTACATGCTATAGCCACTGAACCCCACCCTCCATATTCACACAATACACTGAGGCATTCCAGAGCTCTGAAATTTCAATAATAATAATGTGTGCATAACATTTAGCCAAGAAACACCACCCTCCTTCATCAATGCTCAGCATCCCCGCGTAACACCTACTTACGGTCTCAGAAAAGCAGTGTTTCATAGACAACATGCTGAGAAACGCAGGCCTAGAAAATGAAGTGCTAAACCTCCTTAGCATACAAGGCCCTGTATCACTTCATCGGTTTCCTGACTCTGTCAAGCCCACTTCCTGCCAGGCCCTTTCTCCCCATGCCAGCACGCCCCACCTCTGCCGAAGAGGCAGCTCAGACTATCACCCTGCCTTGCAGAGGCCTTGACTACTGCACTTTATCACACTGCATTGCACTTTCCTGATTACACATCTACATCCTACCAGGACCGCAACCTTAGAAAGGAACAGACTCCATGTCACCTACTTTCGTAATCCCGGTACAGGACCTGGCACATAGTAGGTGCTCAACAAATGCCCGCTGAACCAACGTTAAGGACAGTATCTTACAATTTCCTAATGGTTTTGTTTTCAGTGTCTTCTCATTTGCACCATACAAGAATTCTATAGAACAGGCAAGTCAGATGATGTTGCCTTTTCATACATGTTCTAATTGTGACTCAGATTAAATGACATAATCAAGGTTACCAGCTAACAAAAACCTGAAATGAACCAACATCTCCAGACTCGCAGTTCAGGCTTTCAGACACAATACACTGCTTCAGTAAGACTATGTTACCTATACTAATTTTGCTCAGGTTTGTTTCTGACGTACGTGTTCAACTCTTGATGCAAAACACATGGTTCTTCTCTTTAAGTTCATATTTCCATTAAAGAAGGGACAGAGCAAATTAAAAATTATGTAGGACAAATGAAAGGGTGGAAAATATATAAGGGAGCAAGAGGCTGTTCTTCCAAAATCCCTGAGGACCTAGCCCTTACTGGCTTATGGAAAAGATCCAAATTCATTTGTTAAAACTTAGAGGCCAATGACAATTGGCACTCTCCATCGTATTTCTGAACAAACAAAACTACCTGTTAAAACCATATAACAGCTATGGGGCGCCTGGGTGGCTCAGTTGGTTAAGCCACTGCCTTCGGCTCAGGTCATGATCCTGGAGTCCCGGGATCGAGTCCTGCATCGGGCTCCCTGCTCAGTGGGGAGCCTGCTTCGCCCTCTGACCCTCCCCACTCTCATGCTCTCTCTTTCTCTCTCTCAAATAAATAAATAAAACCTTTAAAAAAAAAAACATATTAACACCTAAATTATGAAGTATGTAAGCTCTTTGCTTCCTATTTATCTACTCTACCTAACTTTTGGCTATTTACTACTTACTGACAGTTGCATGGGAGACAATACATGTGAAAAAAATATTAAAAAAGAGTTACTCTAAACTGATAATGTCATGGAAGTTATCAGAATCCCCTGGTGAGCTTATCAAACCTTACTCCCACTCCATAAGAACCACTGACATTCTGAGCCATTCTGATATGATATGAATATTTATCATGTCCTCCATGCATGTGAAATGGGAAAAAAAATGTTCAGCACCACCTCTCTAAACAGATCATTTGTCACGTCATTTACAAATGATAGGAACAAGTAATTAAAATTCAGTTTAGAGCTAACATTAGGGTCTGTACCAGGTTATCCCCATTTTCCATCAAAGACTCAACAGGTACTAGGAGAATTCCCAAATATATGAAATAAGAAAATTAATTTACACTTAATTACAAGAGTGAAATTTTCCTGTTGTTTCCAGTTTTACCCAGCTATTTTCCCTAAGACTTCATTCTACATTTAATTAGCAGATCATACTGCTTCAAGCACTTACAGCATACTTAAGAGATTTCAAGCTCACCTTCCACACTAAGATTTTACAGTCACCCTATACAAGTCTTAGAATACAAAACAACATGCTTTTAGAACTGAAATGACTAATTTGAAGCAAAATTAATTTGTCAAAATTTTCCAAAAGGAAACTAGTAAAGTAACGGTCACATATACTATGAAAAGTTCTTACTGGGCATTTTTACAAATACATAGAAGTAAAAGGATTGGCCCCTTCTACCAGAATCTTTGAATGAGTCTATCAGCAAAGAAGATTCAGAAATATAATTTAAATATGTGGCTAAATATTCTATTTCTTACTCGCTAGATTACTTTCATGAAACAAAAACACAGAAATACATAATAATTTCTAAAAAAAATCATAAAAATACTTTGACCTTTATAAAGGCTTTTTTAAATTGCTTAATCTCTTTGGATACTATTATTAAAAATCTCTGGGGCGCCTGAGTTGGTTAAGCATCCGACTCTTGATTTCAGCTCAGGTTGTGATCTCAGGGTCGTGAGATCAAGCCCCAAGTCGGCCTCCACACTAGGTGTGGAGCCTGCTTGAGATTCTCTCTCTCTCTCTCTCTCTCTCCCTCTGCCCCTCCTCCCATCCCCCTGCTTGAGTGCACTCTCCAAAAACAAAATAAAACAAAACAAAACTCGACAAAGGTGATTTTCATACTTTACCGATCTTTTAAAAAGCATTTCTTAGTATCTGTCTATACTTGGATGTCATGACAGGCACAATGCATACTTACACTCACAAATGTTTAAGCCCTGAAAAAAAAACTAAGCTGAAATGATATGTATAAACACAAAAAACAATGAACACAATGGCATATACATTAATATTAAAAAATTAAGTAATATATGTGATCACTTGTGCCATACAAGAAATCAAAAGGGTAATAAATAATGAGGTGTTTACAAGGCAATACAGATAATCGATACTAAGAAATTAAAGACAATCATTGGGCTGTGGCTGGCAGGGCCTTGGAAGACAGGCAGAGACAGGAGAGGCAGGAAAGGTGGTGCATTCCAGGCTGGGGGAACAGCAAGTGCGAAGGCATGAAGCAGTAGGTGGGCTGTGTGTGCGCGTGCACATGAGAACGTGTGAATGTGCCGGCTGGTACAGGGAAAATGATATGGAATCTGGTCTGACTGGAGATGAGAGTCTACTGGAGGGAAGAAAAGAAAGTAGGCCTGAAAAGCTTTAAAAACTAAGTACAGGAAGAGAGACAACATTTTCCTCCTCTGTAACATGACAGGGTTAAACTAGAGATAGCTGGTCTTTTTCAGCTCAAAAATTATAAGCACAGGTATATCAGTGACACAAAGTTACTAAATGGAACAACATAATCGAAAACGTATAGGAAATGATGAACCCAGAAAGTAGACGGAAGGACAGATATTGGAAGCCTGGAACAGAAAGGAAGAACTCACACGCCTTGTTAAGGGGTTGGATATAAGGAGTCAAAAATCATTCCAGGGTTTTAAACTCAGGAAAACAGTGGTGCCACCAACAGAAAGGGCAGCTGGCTGGCTTGGGAAGAGGAGAACATTAGTTCGTATTTCCAAATTTATGTCAGCACAGAACGTGAGATAGCAACGCTTAAAATCCAGGTATAAATGTCCTGCAAATAATTTGGAAATAACTGGACTCTATATAGCCTTAATGAGAGAAGCAGACCAGAGAAGCTAAGCTGGCAATCACGAGCTTAGAGGCAACAAGAGGAGCCAAGGGACAATTTGTCTGAAGGAGTGAATGTCTAAACAAAATAAATACGTAAAAACTGGGTTCTTCAGAATGCCAGTCAAGTACTGGTCCAGGCATTTAGCAGTTTAAAAATTTCAACAAGAATATAATCTGCAATCTACTAATAATAATTATCCTGACTGATAGAGAATTCAACTGAGGTGTTCAGCATGCTTTATCAACTACCCCATTTCTCATCTTGATATTAACACCTACCATATTGTCATCACTGCAGTCATCAGTTTGGGCTGCCTGTCCTTGGAATGAAGCACTGGGCTGTTCCTCCTGTATGCTGGACTGATTGGAGCTGGCGGCCAAAGAGGGTTGGTCATTATTCTGGAGTGAGGAATGCTCTGAATCTGTGGATGAAGGTAAGTTAGGTGCTGGAATGGCATCTTCAAGAATCAAACATATCAAGTCCCCAGAAACAATCCCATATGAAGCCAAGGTCTCTTCATCTCCAGTGAGGGCATCCTTGTTGTTCAATGTGATTGCAAACCGGGTATCAGAACTGCCAAGAAAGATGGATAAGGACAGTAAGAGCTACCTACCATTACCCGCCACCATTTCCCTCAATAACACACTTAGAACATATATATAAGGTACATGGTGTGAGCCTGGAAGAATTAAGTAATGAAAACAAAACAAAAATAAAAAGGAAGCCAAAGTTTTGCAAAAACTATCAAAATTACTTGTTCTTATCACCGAATGCCTAGGTTATAGACTTCTAATGGCTACAATTCTATCCTGGGACGCAGGATACAGTAATTCTCTATCATTAACCCATGTTCTCACCAATTCTAAGGTACACACTTCACATCTTTTGTAATTCTGGTATCTTTGAAACAGGGATGCTTCTTAAAATTGATGACACATCACAGCTTAATTGCCAGCAACTTTTCCTTTAGTGTTACATAAAACAACATGCATCTTAAGATTGACAGCAACTTGAGATTCAATGAAATATAGTCTTTTTAAAATACAAACTATGTCACATCATTCCTCTGCTGAAAATCCTCCAATGGCTTCTATTTGAACTCAGAACAGAATCTTTAACATGGCCTCCAACGCCCACCATTTGACCCCTACCCATTTGTCCTACCTCATCTACCCCATCCCCTCACTCACTGTTTTCTATCAATGTAAACTTTCTATCCCTTCCTCAAAACAGATCAACCTCACAGCAGCCTCTGGGCCTCTGCATTCGCTCTTCCTGATCTTCAGAGGGCTCACTCTCACCATTCCGGTCTCAATTCAAATGCCACCTCTTCCAGGATGCCTTCTGCCTGGCCTCCATCACTCTATTCCATTCTCATGTTTTATTTTATTATAACATCACTATTTGAAAATTCCATATTTATCATCTCTTCTCCACCCCACCACTACAATTTAAGTTTCATAAGGTCAGGTATCTTGTCTGTCTAGTTCAAAACTGTATCTCCAGCACTTGTCAAATAAAAGTATTTGTGGGATAAATGCAACCAACAAACATTAGTTGGGAAGATGGGAGATGAAAGTGAAATCAGGGCTCCCTAGTCATTGTTTACATAACAGTCAGCTTATGTCTGTTCCAAAACACTAGATCCATGTCCTACGTAAATATTCACAATCACAATGAGTATGTAGAGAATCAGTATAAATTCATCCCTCCCACTGTTAAATACAAGGTCACCTTTCTTACTGATGATGTGCGATGTCTTTTATAATGAAAACAGCACAAATCCAAAAACCCACTGCTAAACAAGAGCTCAAATTAGCCTGAAGCAACGAACTCCCCCTTCCATATCACAGGCTCTCTGATTTGAGAGAATAACCATCACATAGTGGTGAAGAGTAATTAACAAACCATTGCACAACATTTTCTAAGGCATTTAGACTCAGCAATGCTGACTTCATTAACTTTTTGAGAGGTCAACCAAGGATGAAGTCCTTTGAAAATCATGAATAAACAATATTCTTGCAATGCTGCATTTTCAAAAGTGCTCAAAATAGTTTGTTTTCTTTCACATGTAAAAACGCTTTTTCTTACCAATTACAGTGCCTCTCGTAGAGAAATTACTGAAGTTTTGCTTATTAGAAAATCAATAGCTATGCTTCTGTTTTCAAACCCTCTGATAAACGTTGAAAATCTGCCAGATGCCCCAAAAAAACACCATCCCAACAGAAAAAGAGAGAAACACCTCAAATGTACTATGTGTTTATGGACCATCCGTCAGAGCAAAAGGTTTGGTTTTTTTAACAGTATCTAACAAAATAGTCAAACATCTACCTGTAGAAAAGCTAAAGAATTACATGATTAATAAAAATGTTGGCCTTCCCTCCCCATTTAGAAAAAGGGAAGAGCTATTTCTAAAGTAACATAGAGCTTTTCAGCAGAGGGGTTAAAAACTGGTTTTCTGAAACTGAAAAAAAATTTTTTTAATTCATCAGAAAATGCCATCCTAGAAACACCAGGCCTTTTAAAAATACTTTCTTTCAAACCCAGATGCACTTGCTCAGTGAAGACACTTTAAAAATAATAATGTCCTATGGTCATTTTAAAACTGCCCATGTTTATAAAGTGAAGATACTTTCAGAAGAATGAATTTACTTTCAGAAGCTGAAGCTTACATTCCTTCCAGTTAACCAGCCTCAAAAACAAACCCAAAGGGGAAACTAACTTGGCCTCTTGGATAAAGTCCTTTCAAGACTGCCCCTAATTTAAAATATAATATTAATAAAATATATATACATATATATGAAAAAATCTTTTTTTAAAAAAGTTACTTTTGAAGAATTCTGGTGGGGTAATGGCATCAGCATACAAAACGCTTAGGTTTAACCCCAAGAGATAACAACAGGCATGTCACTTAATACAACGTTTAACAGTTACGTCAATACCCCATTTTTAATTTGGAGAAAAACAGGCTTACTTTTAATATAGTGCTTTAACCTGAAAAATGAAAGGTGAGTTCATAATACGGCCTCATTTTACTCTATTCCCTAAAAATAAAGTCAAGGTACATAAAAGTCTCATAAAAACGGTCCATTTAATTAACAGAAAGGTTTTCTTTTGACGAATTCACCTAAAAAGCTCCAGCGACCACCTTTTTTTTTCCTTAGCACACTCAAGATTCCAAACTCGCTAGTTCAGTACGTGAAGAGGCCCACCCTTATCTCTGTCCCTCTACCCCCAGATTATTGTCCCCAGAAAATACTCTCTGTGGAAACAAAGCAGTCTCATTTGCAACCCCATAAATTAATAGCGGAATCTGGTCCGTTATTTCTCAACGTCACTGCCCCCAAACTGCAAGCTCTCCAGGGTCATCCCACGGCCAACGTTTATCCTAGTTTTAGCAAAACAGCAACAGCTCGCCCAGGGAAATTGAAGGATCTGAACCACGCCGACACCCCCGAGCGTGTAATACTCTGCGGCGGGTAAGTCAAAGTGCTCCCCGCGGGCCGGGCACGCGCAGACTCAACGCGGCCCGCTCACAGGTGGCCTCGGATGGAGGGCCGGTTTCTAACTTCTAGTTCTAGAACTTTCCTTTTTCCATGGAATACTGCGACAGCTGGAGATGGTGAACTTAAATCCCACAGAGCCTGGAAAGGTCTACCCCCAGCCGAACCCCTACGCCCCGGCCTGTCCCTGGTTTCCTCTGCCGCGGAAACGGAAGCGACGGCTCACCCTGCAAAGGAAGGGAGCCCCCGGGACGCCAGGCCATGTCCTCTGCGAGTCGCGAGCCGGGAGCCAGCGAGCTGCAGCCCCAGCGTCCGCGCCGCGCCCGGTCTGCGCGCGTCGCAGTCCCTGGGACGCCCGACCCACGACGCCCCGCTACCGCCCGGCCTCACGTGACCGCCCGGGACGGGCGCGCGCTCCCGCGCACTGCTCCCGGGCCCGCGGCGCGCCCCCGCCGCAGCCGCCTACCTGAAGCCCCAAGTGGGCAGCAAGGCCTGGCTCAGGTGCGCGCGTAGCTGGCCCAGCGTCGGCTCCGCGTCTGGCATCTCCAGCGGCCAGGTCCGCTTCTGTAGCCGGACCCGCAGCTTCATGGTGGCGGCGGGAGGGCCCCGGGGGCCCGGACCCGGAGGCGGCAACGGTGACGACGGCGCGGCGGCAGGCCCGGAGCGGCGACTACCGGAAGACTAGCGGAGAGAAGGACCCGCCGCGGCCCCTGCCGGTGGGTCTCTGGAACATGAGCGCCCCGCCCCTCTCTTGAGGGCGCCCCCTAGAGCCCACCCCTTGGGCGGACGGCTGCCCAGCCAGGCCGCTCGGCGTCTTGTGATCGATGGCTCGGCGCGCAACGGCGCCGCCTGGGAGTGAGAGGCGCTCAGTGCGCAGATGCCGAGACTGCCGCGGGGGGCGGGGGGCGCGGCTCTGTCGGCCGTGGCGGCTCTTCTGCTGCGGGGGCTGTGCCGACTCCTTCCAGGCGTGCTTAGAGAACGTTAACGCCGAGAGAGAGGCTGCAGAATATGTGACTTGCCACTCCGCAAGCCCCAGGCGTGTCTGGTTCTTAACTCATTTCCTCCGCGGCGCTCCGCTCCAGCCGCAGGCATCTGCTCTGAGAAGCCTTAGGTTGAGCCCAGGCTCTGCTAGTTTCCTCCTGTTACAGCAAAATATGAAACAGCTTGTAGTCCCTGATCTATGTCGGAGAGTATAGTAGTAGTCTGTTACATAGCAATCACCCCAAAGTTTAACGGCTTAAAACAACGAACGTTAGTTGTCCCACAGGTTCTGTATGTCAAGAATTTGGGCCTGGCGTCTCTGGGTGGTTCTGTCTTGGTCTCTCATGAGCCAAGGCTGCAGTTTTCTGAAGGCTTGACTCAGGCTGGAGAACCTGCTTGCTGGATAGCTCACTCACATGACTGTTGGCGGGAGGCCTGTTTTTCAGGGCAAGGACCTCTCTATGGGGCCAGTTGAGTGTGCCCATGACTTAGCGTCTGACTTCTCTCATAACACGTGCTCCCAAAGAGACCAAAGCAGAAGCCACAGTGTCTTTTGTGACCAAGCCTCAGAAGTCACATACCATCACTTCTGTCGTTCTAGACAACCCTTCAGTGTGGGAGGATCAACCCAAAGGCATGAATACCAATAGGGATCATTGGGAGCCACCTGGAAGGCCGGCTACTATAGAGAGTCTGACGATGATTACGATGAAGATGATGATGATAACTTAGATGAGAGAGAGGGAATCGTCAAATTTCACCCTTGTATGATAGCCATTGTCCAAATCATTATGAAAGAGTTGAATGAAGTTTCTCCCAGTAGGTGGCAGTACTTGTCCACATCCTGATCTTCATTGGTTAAATAAACATGTATTGAACACCTACTTTGTGCTAGATATTATTCCAGGTGCTGGGGACTCAAAGATTGAATTCACAGTTGACTGAATCAACTCTTGTAGTAGAGTGTAATGAGTTTTTTGTTTATGACAGAGATAATAACAATTCTGGGGACTGGGGTACACAGAGAAGGGTAGTTGTGCCAGTAGGATTCTTTTTTTTTTTTTAATTTCTTTTTATCATGTTATGTTAGTCACCATACAGTACATCATTAGTTTTTGACGTAGTGTTCCATGATTCATTGTTTGCATATAACATCCAGTGCTCCATGCAATACGTGCCCTCTTTAATACCCATCTTTAGTGGCAAACAATATGAGATTGAGGAAGGGTGGCAGGACCAGGGTGGCTCAGTGTGGCCAGAGGGAAGGACACAGTGGGTACATCTCAGATAAAGAAGATCCTTGAGCTAAGCCAAGGATTTGAGACACATTCTAGAATGTGTGGGAAGCCAACGGAGAGTTTTAAGCAAGGGATTCTTTATCGGGTTTCTTAGTTCTGAGCAATAGAGACTGACTCTGGCTGACTAAGAAAAGGAACATGTTAAAAAGGATACTGGATAGCTCAGGAAATTCTGGGAAGGACTAAAGAAGTGGTTCCAGGCTAGTTCCGGGAATGAAACTCAGAACCACGCTGAAGAACTGGCCTGATGGGGAAACTAGCCTGACTGACTGGGATTGCCCCACCCTGCCCTGGAGGAGACTGCTGTCTCCCTGACAGGAACCACTGCGGAATGGCGGCCACCTTCAAATGCCACACGTTTTTGCGGCCTCTCACACCAACAAAATGCCAAGCTTCCAAAAGAGCCAGTTTCCTCACCTTGCTCACTTCTAAATCAAAGGCTCATAGGGATACATCTGATTAAGGGAGACTGGAGTCCAATGCCTGAGTCCCGGCTGCAAAGGAGACTGAGAATGGGGGATCTGAACTCCTTCCTTGGGAAGGCAAATATCCCCAAATGTAAAAAAAAAAAAAAAAGGCCATTCAAAAGATGGTAGGAAGCCATGAGTCTGACAGGCATACACCACAAAGGACATAGGTCAGATCTGAAATGTGACTCTATCACCTTTCGAGTGTAGGGGATATATTAGATCAGGGTTCCTCAACCTTGGCGCTGTTGACACTTGGGCTTCATGAATCTTAGTTGTGGAGGACTATCCTATGCCTTGTAGGATGTTTAGCAGCATCCCTAGTCTATCCACAAAATGCTACTAGAAACCTCTCTCCCAATTATAAAAACCAAGGATGTCCTCAAACTTGGACACATATTCCCTAGAGGGTGAAATTGCCTTGAAAACCATTGGATTGGGGACCAGCTTAGTTTGGAGGCTCTTTTGGTAACAGAAGAAAGGAATTAGTGGAATGACGGTAAGAATGGAGATGATGGGTGGGCAGGGATGATGTTACAGAGGTAGAAATAATAGAAATTGGAAAATGGCTGTATTTGGAGGTCTTATAAGTTAGAATATAGCTTCAGCTGCCCTAAGAGATATGAAATAATAGTGACCTAAACAAGACTTGTTTATTTCTCTCTGAGATACCATTCTTGGAGAAAGCAGTGCAAGGCTAGTATGATGGCCATCTTTAGAGACCATCTACCCCAGTCTACCTCTCAGTACGTTGTAAACCTGGATAAATTTCCATCTATAAAAATGAAAATAGTAAATAAGAATGTATCAGACAGCTGTGTTGTAAAGATTGAGATAATACCTTTTCTGTTTTTTTGTTGTAAACCATTAAATTTGTGATGATTTGTTAAAACAATAGAAAACCAATCTAACTGGGATCCTTGTCTCAATCCTTTGCCCATTAGGTATAACCATCGGCATGGCAGAAGTAATCCAACCACAGGGGGTTAGAAGGGTCCTGGAAGAGAACCAGAACATTCTCAAGGCACCACCAAGATTTAAGGTACTCTGCAGGATAATTCTCCAAAACTTCAAAGATCCATGACAATGTTACATAGCCTCTCTCTCAACTACTTCCCGCCTTCATAATTTTTCTAAATTTCTTGCAGGATGTCACTTTAATGTCTGCAAGCAACAGTTACTGCAACTTTCAAAGAGTTCAGAAATTTGCATTTCTTTTTTTTTAATGGACCATTTTATAGAATACTAAAAGGGACAATATCACTTTTCTATGGGAATACATATACTCCCTGTAGACTTTTTTTAAATAAACATTTTATTTTAGAATGGTTTTAGACTTATAGAATGATTTAGGGACACCTGGGTGGCTCAGTCGGTTAAGCAGCTGCCTTCAGCTCAGGTCATGATCCCCGGGTCCTGGGATTAAGCCCTGCATCGGGCTCTCTGCACAGCAGGGACCCTGCTTCTCCCTCTGCCTGCCACTCTGCCTATTTGTGCTCTCTCTCTCTGTCAAATAAATAAATAAAATCTTTTTTAAAAAAAATTTATAGAATGATTTAAAGACTTATATACCACACACCCAGTTATCCCTATCAGTAACATCACAGATGAGTGTAGAACATTTATCACAATTAATGAATTAATGTTGATATATTTGTATCAACCAAAGTCCATACTTAATTCAGATTCCCTCAGTTTTTTCTTAACGTCCTTTTTCTGTTCCAAGATCCCATCCAGGACACCACATTACATTTATTCATCATGTCTCCTTAGGCTCTTCTGGGCTATGACAGTTTCTTAAACTTCCCTTTTTTTAATGACCTTGACAGTTTTAATGATTACTGGTCAAGTATTTTGTAGAACATCCCTCAGCTGGGATTTGTCTGATGTTTTCTCGTGATTAGACTGAGGTAACATGCTCCTAGGAAGAAGACCACTGAAGTCAAGGTGCCATTCTCATTCCATCAACAGTGTATACTGGCAATATGACTTCTCACTGTTGCTGTTAATCCTGACCGCTTGGTTTCTCCACTGTAAAGGTACTCCTTTGTTCTCCTTTTCATATTGTAGCCTTTGGAAGAAAGTCACTATGTGCAGCCCACACCTAGAGTGGGAGTTATGCTATACCTTATTAGGGGTGGAGAATCTACATAAATCATTTGAATTTCTTCTGGACAGGAGATTTCTTTTTTAAAGATTTTATTTATTTATTTGACAGAGATAGACAAGTAGGCAGAGTGGCAGGCAGAGGGAGAGGGAGAAGCAGGCTCCCCACTGAGCAGGGAGCCCGATGTGGGACTCGATCCCAGGACCCTGGGATCATGACCTGAGCCAAAGGCAGATGCTTAACTGACTGAGCCACCCAGGTATCCCCTGTACAGGAGATTTATCTATTCTCTATTTATTCAATCCTTTATATCAGTGTGGACTTATATTTATTTTATACTTTGGCTTATAATCCAATACTGCTTCATTTAATTTTTTGCTCAAATTGTTCCAGCTTTGGCCGCTGGGAAATCTTTCATTTGGCTACTGTATCCACTTGACATCATTGTGGATTTTTGTTCATCTGTCCTTTTTTTCCCTGTTTTTGAACACTTTCTTATTTTCTGGCACTGTAAGATGCTCTAGCATCATTTTGTATGTATCCTACCCCAACCCTAGAATCAACCATTTTTCCAAGGTGCACTAGTTCTTTTTACTGGAGAGTGGTATTAGAAACCAAGATCTGGGTGCTAGGTGTGCTCATTGCATTTGAGGTGTTATTGCTTCTAAGCCTTCTCAGCTAACACAACAGGGAGATACGTGTATGTACACACTATTTCCATACCTAACCATCTGTATCTATATTAAGCTGAGTGTGAGTTCATTCTGATGTTTCCAACTCTAATCCTTTACCACACAGTCATTCTGGTCTCCTCCCTTGCTTATCTGTAACTTCCCAATCCAACTGTGACAAATCTAGCTCCCCCCACCATCCACCATCCATTTACTTAATCATTCATTTCCAGAATCTATGTATAGTGGTTTCAGGATTCTTAACCCACAC